AAAGAGCTACGGAACCGCAGCTAACCTTCCATTATTTCTGAAATCATGCTGCAGTACGATCAACTTTCCGTTTCTTGGTGCTGTCAGGGTTAGGACACCCATGGGTTTCTGGTTCTGAACATGATTTAGCGATATCTCCATCTCGTCGTGAAAAATACTCGTCGAGCAGTTGTCAACTCCTTTTTGACGTAGTCTCCATTTTTAATAAATAAACAAATCACGTGTTTGATAAGGGCGACATGAAACCGTCCCATACTGAGAGTAATGTCGCGGGGTATCTTGAAACGCATGTCGACTAAACTACGCATGTGCTATGACACCAAAATAACTTTAGAGTGGAAAAATACATTCAGTGGCATGGCAGTTCCGTGTTGATCGCGATCACCATGTAACAATTGTTGCAATCTTAGAAGTAACAAGACATTGTTTAACTTTAAAATGGCAATCACTCAAACCGTAACACGCGTGATGATCACAGTCGAGTCTTGACAATTAAATGAGGGCGATTTGCGAGGGTATTTCGTACAAAATGTGTTCGTAAATCTTACTAATAGATATTTATTTTGTTTGTAAATCTTGTCCAAATTTCGTAATTTACGACATTTGCGAGCGACAGCGAAAGCACAGAGGACAGTTGAGTCTGTAAATGGGTCCAAGCCTGTTGACCAGAATTAATAGTATGTGTGTGCAATACATGTACGAATCTTCAATTCGATAAATTGCTGGCACCACAGTCATTGTACAGCATGTTTCATGTATACATGTACATGTACAAACAGTGATTTTTAAATGCATTGGGCTTGTATCGCACCTGGTATGCTGACTGGGGCACTGTCATTTCCATTCAGCTGTCCACAACAGCCTACTGTAAAATACTTTATTTCTGCTTGGAATTTATTTTCGCTGAAGGAATGATTCAGTGAAAATAAAATCCAGTGACATTCAACTCATCAAAAATCAGTGAAAATAAGTTCCATACAAAAACACCAATAAAACCTTTTCAGCGAAAATTAATTCCAGCCAAAATAAAGTATTTTACAGTACCGGTGTATAATGTTTCTTGTTTTCTTCTCTTCCAGTTGGCTTCAATTAAACAGACTGTCACTTTACTACAACAAGATAAAGAGTACCTTACTAGACAGGTAACAGAGTTGAACACAAGATACCATCACACTGACGAGCGCCTACAACAAACATTCACGCAGCTAGACAATGCTAAAAGATCTAGAGAGGAAATGTATGACAAATACGTTGAAGCAAGGTATGAACAGCTTGGTACTTTTTTTCTAGAGGGTTGGGAGAAAGTTGTCTCATAACTGTGATGAGATGTAATCATTGTTGAATACAAGGTCACTATTAGCGTAAAGAACATTTTGGAAGTAAATCTCTCCATGAATTGTTATGTGCTTCAAGTTAAGACTATTGCCTTTGTCCCTGTGTTTTGATACACATATATAATGTACTTTTTTACAATATTTTATAGGGATCAATTCAAAGCAGAATATGAGAAGAAATTAAGAGATGAACTTGATTCTATCAGATTGAGAACTGACGGTGAAATTGACAGATTAAAGGCCAGTACTAAAGAAATGTATGAACGAGAAAACAGGTATGTACATGTTAATTTCAGTGAAAATCAATAGATCTAGCACAACAGAAACGGTACTCTAACTGTCTTTTGGTGTACTGCAATACAAGAATTGAATGTGACCTGATCAATAATTCTGTGTGATCACATATCTGTAAATTTGTCTGTGACTTGTGTTCCTCCTAGAGACAGTAGTCAGGACTGTAGGGATTTTAAATCAAAATGGAATCATGTATGGGACCCATACATACATGACTGTGATGATCACCTTCTATATATTAAGTCATTTCGTCTTGACAGTAGACAGTACTGGACAGTTAATAATAATTACCAGGGTCCATAGCGTTGGGAAAATCCTTTGAAAGTCTTTTATTGAGGTCTGGAAGTCTTGGAGTTGTCTTTAAATTACAGAAAAATAACAAAATCTTTGAAAAGTCTTTAAATTTCTTCATGGTTATTAATTCATTTTAGAAAGGCCTGTTTTCTCCAGGGAACTACCATATCCTCAGAACTTTGATGAGCTTTGGGTCAAAATGTCTTGGAAAAATGCAAGAAAGTTTGAAATTTAAAATTTAAATTTGTCTTTCTTCTTTGAAGGAATTTACGAGAAGCAAGAGATAATGCAGTCTCTGAACGAGACAGAGCACTGTCAGCAGAGAGAGATACAAACACAAAATACGAAAGTCTATTGGCGCAGTAAGTATATGTCATTGCAATTAAACCACATAATCATTGAATGCCTTATTGGTAGCAATTCAGTTTGAATCCTATTGAGAGATAGAGGCCAATATCTGATGCACATTTTTACCCTTCTACTTAGTGGAAGAGACAACCTGGATGTAATATTTCGTTGCTATCATTGATTTCATGATGTGTCATACCATGTTTTTCATGTTCGACAATGGATGTGTTCGTTCTTTCAGATACAGACAGGTGCAAGTTGAAGCTGATAACAAAACTGCTGATCTTCGAAATGAAACTAAATTGAAAACCTTTGAAGCGGAACGCACACAAATGGTTCATGAGGAAACGGTGAAGACTTTGAGGCAATGTCAGTTGGAAAACGATAAATATCAAAAGAAAATTGAGGTAAGATTAATGTTCAGTTAGCAATAGTAACTCTTTGACTATCACTATAATTAAAGTCTGGGAAAATAAAACCCAACAAAATACTGTAACCTTACTTCCATGTTTTTCATGTAATATGTCAGAAGTAGTTTAAAACAATAAAATAATCCATAGTGACACATAGTTACTGAATTAAAACACCTGTAATGATGTTGTTTTACGTTCTGTCATTGCAGTGTTATGTCGCTATAGGAAAGATGTATTTATTGCCCACAAGTATCAAACATGCATAATAAAACTGATGGAAACGTACAACTAGCAGACTAGTTGCCGTCTATTATCACGAGGCTTTGGAAAAATCTATGAATAATAGACCTAGTAAATTGGTCTGGAGTGCTGTGAGCGGGCCTTATGTACGGTTCAGTTTGCACACGCAAGTTCCCATGGTAAATTAGTGAAGTCATGGAGACAGCCAATCAGTGATGACACAGAATTCTGTGTCATCTACATATTTAGCGATATAGCGATTCACCATACCATTATTAAGTGCACTGGAACAGGCACTCTGAATGACTGGATTTCAGGCTAACATTTATTAGAAACCTAACTCATATTTCACTTGTATACATTACTGTGTTTCTCACCTGTTTGACATAAATTTGATTTACGCACCATATCTCTTGTTCAGGTTTTAACACAGGAGTACTACGGTCTACAGAACACTACCCAGAAGAGAATCACTGAACTGGACACTGAAAACACTGAGATGAAGACAAAACTGACCACGTATGAGAAACTAGAACAAGAATTAGATGATGTAGTTATGCAAGCAGCTGACAGTGAGTGTTATGTTATAATTGGTGATTTTTTTCATTCACTTCAAGATCTCAAGTAATGTGTGATAGATGGGCCAAATATCTGCCACAAAAAAATTGAACTTGAATATCTTTTTATAGCCTAATGTCAAAATGCTGAAATTTCAGAGGGAAGTTTTGCGTGAAGATATCCTTGAAAGTGTGTCACATATTATTAGACGTGGAAATAACCCCAAAATACTTTAGTATTTGTCAAAGCCAACACATGGTTTTGATGGAACAGTGCTATTACTTTTGTTTGTCATGTTTTTTTGTTTGATTTCACACATAACATGGGATCTTGCAGGGTGAACAAAAAAAAATGGTCTTTTGATGTGTTTCTGAACCCATGAAGATAATTGACATATACAAGTCTTATTATGGCTCAACTCCACTACAACCAGGCTAATTAAAGCACACAGACATGACGTAATGCATACATATACTTTGAGCAGCTTTAGTTTTACAATGCCACTGTTAAAACCACTGTGTTTGGGTCCCTGTGTCGTCATTGTGTCACCACTGTATGATAAAACTGTAGACTAACTTTAATCATGTGATTTCATGAAGTAATGTTATTAACTTTCAACTTACCTAAGAGTATTTGCATATCATCTTTCTGTATTAGTTTATTTTTTTAATCCGTGCCGTTAAAATACAACCGCCATGTTGTCTGTGCATCAGTGACTACTGGGTAACTTTATTTCTTAATCTTGACATAGGTGGCGGTATTACCTGAAAAGTATGACATAGAAAGTACATAGGATTTCAGTGTAACATGCATCCCTCCATATTCACACAAATTTAATAACTCATTACTGGTTCAAAAGTTTGGCTAGATTTTGTTACCCATTGATGTTATTGATTGTTTCAAGACTTAAATCATATTCATCATCTGAGAGGCATGTAATAAAAATATAATACCGACCGATCATGGGAGTTTGTATTTCGCGCAAGAAGAACGATCCTCTGGACTGTGGCATAAATGCTCATATTCGGCCAGTAATATGTACACCTGCATAACTAATAAAAAAACAATTTGTCTTATAGTTGAAGATGAAAGTGAAGCTGAAAGAGTTTTATTTTCTTATGGTTATGGAGCAAATGTACCAACCACTGCTAAGAGAAGACTTAAACAAAGGTGAGTTTTACCTGGTCTTTCCGTCAGTGCTGTAAGGGTGGTGGAATATAAGTGATGTTCTCGCTGGACGAAATAAGCCGTTGTCACAACGCCTTTTATTTGAGAATGTTGTTAAAAGGTGTGTGTGAACAGAATACGTCTTTGTGGCGTCAGCGTTTTTGACACCGTCGTAATAAGGGTGGACCAGATCCTAAATATTGTTGTCATACCGGCTCTTGCACAATGCAGTGTGCTGTGTGAACACAATACGGCGACCAATCGCCCTCTATCACCGACTTATTTATGCTTGTCATTACACAAAATGGCGTCAGAGGTTACAGGTCGAATGTTGAACTGGTCAGACGAAGAAACAAGATTACTAATATCTGTATGGAGAGAATCGGATATTCAAAGATGGACGGAACGTCTGGGGATGCTAGAGTATATGCTGTGATTGCAAAGAAAGCGGCTGAAAAGGGGTTAGACAGGACGTCATTACAATGTCAACAGAAGATCAAAACTTTACGTTTAAAGTACAGAGAAGCGACTGAGCACAACAGAAGCGATAAGGATTCGAAAACTATGCCATTTTGGGATGAACTACACAAAATATTAGGTGGAAAGCGAGCATTCAATCCTCAAACACGTGTGACGTGTGAGAACGCAGCTATAGGCAGTCTATATGATTACTCAGTAGAATTATTATTATTATTATTGTTATTGTTATTATTATTATTATTATTATTATTATTATTATTATTATTGTTATTGTTATTGTTATAAAAGAATGCATTTCTAATAGATGTAAATGTAAGCCTTAATGTGAATGTTGTTTCTATTGAAAGTGTACAAACCATGTGCCCTTCATAAGCATCTAATTGTGTCTATACAGTATTCCAAAAAGATATCGATGTTTAGTTTTTTTTTAGTAAACTTTCTTTCTTCTAAATGTTTAGCGTGCACCTAGCAAGAAGAGTTCTACAGTTGGAGAGAATGAACACGTCATTACGAAAAGATATTGAAAACGGAAAAAAGAAACTTAATCAGATTTCAGAAGAGGTATGTGTTTTTGTTAACATTCTTTGAAATAATGTGCTCATGGAGCACTGACAGGTTGCCAGATGAGTACAACAAACAGCACTTATACTTTCATACAATGGATATACCTATGTTTTCCTGGGGGATGCACTGTCTGCGTATTTGTAACTATTAGAAACAGACAATAAATACTTGATGGCACTTGATAATGGAAATGAAAAAAAAAAAATTTACAGGTGCATTACACCTGGCAGTTGTGGAAAACTGTTTTCCCTAATATGAATATACATGTCAACACTTGAATTTTATATCGTGAATGTTGTATGTTTCATTCGTTTCAGCTTTCCAATGCAAATAATTTATTAGACCAAGCACAGCAGCCGTATAATTATTTAATAGAAAGTATTAGGATGAGAGACTCGCAAGTACAGCAACATAAGAAACACATTGAAGCCTTGGAGGAAGATATGGAGTAAGTACATTGCAATTGTGTGGTTACGGAAAGGAGCCTAACGAGGTGAGGCAGACGTTGTTCTGGATTGGTTTCTGATCCTTTGGACATGTACAGTGCACCAGCAGTTTCCTAGTCTTGTCCGGTTGGGTACTGTAAAGGGTTAATAATTCACTGGGTTTTAATTTTGCTTACTTCGCTGACTGGAAAATGCACTAAATTAAAACCCAGTGAATATGTAAAATTTAGCATGGAACACATTATCTAAATGATAAAACCATGAATTTAAAACCCAGTGAAATTTAGTCATTTTACAGTATTTCATATAACTAGATTATATAGAATGTACACTGACTGTACAATGTGTTTACTCTCTCATAATTTGCAGGAGGATGAGTGCTGAGCGAGCAGACCTTGTCAAAAGTAAGAATCTCATGTCAGCTGACTTGGAAAGGTTATTGAACCAAAGAGAGGTGAGTGTGATGAATGAAATAATAGATTTACCTTATACCTAGATAAAGTATGCCATTAATTCATTTTACAGTTACCATGAGTTACTGAATCTATGTGTGGTGCAAATTTTTCCTCACTCTATGAATGGCTTGAATGGCTTGATGTCTAGTTTTTATATACTTGGCATATGATGTTTCATTGAATTGATTTTATGACAAAAAATGTTTATAAATGCTTTTATCTCCATTTTCAGGAAATGTCTGTGATGAAGCAAGTTGTGTTGAATCTATCTAGTCGTCGTCATGGTGATAAACTTTCACATCATGTAGAAGCACCATCATCTAAATACAGTCTACATATCCCAGAACACGATTATGATGATGAACCATCTCCCACTATTTTTGTAAGTTTTTTTTATTCTGAAATAGTAAGTAAAATGCTTTCTCACAAGTCTGCTTCTAAATTAAGTCTTGTGTTCTAACCAGCGCCCTCAGTGTTCGAATATATGCAATTGTTATGTTTTTTTACTTTAGCCTGAGAGGGCAGTCAATAACTGAACTTTAAATTTCAGACAAATCAAGACCCCTCCAAAATGGTACAGGAAATTAAAAGATCGTAGTGCTTTTGAGAGAAGTAAATACTAACTGAACTGTTTTAAATTTCAGACAAATCAAGACCCCCCAAAATGGTACAGGAAATTAAAAGATCGTAGTGCTTCTGAAAGAAGTAAATACTCCACCGTCTATGCCAGTGCTAGATGAAGATAAGATTTACCGATTACACGTATAAGATTTTGAAATGATGTCTTACATGACATTTAAATTGGGATAGACTTGTGGTAAATATGATAACAGGTTCCGAAATAATCGCTGTTACCAGGGAAACGATGATGGGTTGGGATAAATGAGATATGCAACCTTTGATGTCCATTTCGTCTTGTAATGCTTTCTCTCACCAGTATTTAGTGATAGTTTGGTCTGTATAGTGTATGATTAGATTACTTTTCACACATTTCTATGACACAGTGATGCTACAACCTTGAACCTTGATGGACGTAATTTTATTTATCTACATTTTCAAATGTGGTAATCAGAATTCAGCGAACAGTCTTCTCTGAAACCCCACGACAGATAGCTACAAAGCTTATTTTGATAACTATATTAGCTTCTAAAAAGTTGATTGATTTAATTCATAAAGCCTTTAGTTTTTGTTACTTCTACAATACCATATAGGCATGACATTTGTTGAACCCCACGCATGGTTTTGGATGGCACCACAATGTTATCACTTTAATAAACAATATCAGTCATCCAGCGACTACATTTGAGAGGAAATTCCCAGCATGCAATGTCCAACCTAGATTATTTTACTTGCCTTGGTTCTTGGTGAAGCTGTTGTGTTTCATCACATTTGCATGTGTGGTAAGATTAGGTCACCATTAATTCAAGTAGGTTGTATGGTTTGGTTTAACGGACCTAGGAAAACACAGATTCTAGGCTAATTTATTAATGGATGCATGCATGCATGCAGTCTACACTCAATCTAAATGGTGTTAACTAGTTCCAAAGCTGAAATTAAAGGATTTGTTAATTTTCAAACTAAATTCCGCTTTAGCACAGTGTAAAATTGATGTAAAAGACATACTGTGGGGATCACACATGCTATCAGGGACACATGTAGCTTCTTCCGATTACTAGTGAACACTACAATTTATTTTCATTCAGTAATACTTTTGTTAATTGTAATATAATGTATTTAATTTATTATGATACCAGTCATTTCTGAAATTCTGTTATATTCTTATTTTTTTATTTAATATTACTGGAATTTTTACAGCTTCATGATCGGTTCATTTTCACTGATAAATTAAGACACTTTGGTTAACAAAAATAACTTTATGATGCAGGAAGTAGAAACATTGGTTATTTGGTTATTATTTAAAATCAGGAGAAAAGAATTGTCAATATACATTATAATTAATGTACAGTGAAATGAACCTTAATTATCCGAACACTGATTGTCAAATTGCTTATTGCGAGAAATTTCTGTGGTTCCATTAGTGATGCATTTATATGCTATGTGATCAGTTTATTAATTATGCAAAGCTTTTGAGAGTTAAGATATTTGAGGTTACACTGTGTAATTATTATATGATGAGTTTTGTAATCTTAAGGCGATACTTATCTATTTTACTCCAATCAGCAGTACAAACAGGGATGAAAACATATCTTTATTTTTGATGGCAAAGAAATTGTACAGTTTTGGAAGTTGCATTCTTTGTAATTTTAATATATTCACACCATCAAATGGTGTAGAAATTATGTATACTTTTTATAATTAATATTGTAAATTTTACAATTTTCCAAGAAAACAAATTAAAAAAGAAACTTGGCATTTCATTTATTGGTATTGATAATGTTAGCTTTGTTCAAGCTTTGCTAGCAGTATTTTTTTTAGAAAAGTGCAGAAATATACAAGTTTCTGCACATTTTTGTAACACAACTGTGTTGATTACCATCTGAAAGGTCTGACTGATGTATTTGCATGTGTTACAAACATTTTTGGTATTTGCACCATATTTGCGACATATACAATTATCGTGTGAATAATACAAAGTATGGACTCTGTATATGAGAATGCACTGACATGCTATGTATGCTGGTTGATCTATGTGTCTGTTCCACTGATACCTCAAGATTTCAATGAAACTTGATTCATATATGCTCTTAGATAATGCCCTGATCTGATTAGTTTTTGGTTCAAACTGTGTAGTTTATGACAATTAGCTACAAACTATTAGGTTGATATGGATAATCTAACTATGGATTTATTTGCAACAAAGTACCCTACCAAGGGAATTACAATTAAATAGTCTAATTTGAAGCACAGCCCACCCTTTGTGACAGAGAGTGGCATGGCTGTTTGAACGGAGCTTTGAAATTCCTTCCAAATTTTACCTGATTACACAATTACTTTCTCAGTTTGCTGCTTGTTCCATGCTGTTTTCACTGTACAGCGTGTGTTACTACTGTTGAACGATGTTCCAACTATATTTTGATCTACACTGTCATTACTGTGGTGAAAACAACCATTGTCAATTTCAAGATGGCTGGCTACCTGCGTAATGACGTTGCATCTGGCAAAGTCTGCAAATTCTCTACCTTAGCTGCTGTTTTCAGTAAGAAGAACCCAAGATTGAATTTTGTAGGTATACTTTCAACCTATTAAAAACAGCGAAAATAAACTGGCAACATTTTTGTTATCAACGAAAATTAATTTCAGTTAAAATAAAGCATAGGCTTTTGATGCGACTGGCACAACTTGCATTCCATCCTATTTCAGAGGTAGCATGGTTTCTGGACCAGCCTCTGAGATGGCGCAGTTTCTAATCTGACTGTCACAAATCACTTCCAATATCAGTCAGAGGTGGCACAGATTCATGGAGCGGAATACATGCAGTTCAGCTCAGCTGTTGCACTGCGGAGCAACTCACTGCTGTGAGATCGTGTATGGGGTTTCCAAATTGGATTGCAGTGTCCACTCAAACATCTTCTCCTCTAAAAAATCAAAATCTGAGATTTAAAATAGAAAACACCGAGAAAGAGTCTGAGAATTTAAAGCTTGGGTTAATTCCAGACACTTTAGATAGATTCACTACCAACATGCACCAGCAAGTAACATAGGAATCGTCATTTACCGATAGGGCATTGGAAAAG